AGATACACTTATCGAAAAGATGAGGGAGTCCCTTCAGTAATAAGCTCCATGGAAAACATATCCATCACTTTGTATTCTTCACCCCTACATTATAAGAACTCGGGTGAGCTATTATCTAGTAAGTTAATCATGCATACCATGTACATATGTAAGTGAAATACACTTTAAATGCACTTTGAAATCCTTGCCATGTTCTTTTCTAAAATCATTTTCTTTTCATGAAATCTATGCCATGTTCATTCTGAAAATCTTTTCTATGCTCGGATATGTCCCGCCAAACATTTAAATGTACACATCTATACATGCTCGGTCCTCTTTTCCTAAGCATTTCTCCGATGGGGCTACTACCAATTCCCTCACAAGTCGAGGCCACTACCAATTCCTCGATGAGAAATGCCATTTCCTTCTATTGGGTTCTTTACCAATTCCCCAAGGAAGAAATTCTTTAGCCAAGGTCATTACTAATTCCCTCGGTGAAAGAAATGGCTTTGCAATTTTCTGTCATCTGGAGCCATTACCATTTTCCCTAGTGAAGAAATTCTTCGAAGGAAATGCAGAGACCATGAAAACTATGAAACCATGAAAACCATGAAGTCCTTTCACTTGCCTTTGAAAAATCATGAAGAAAATTCTCTTCATAATTTTGGCATGCATATGCATTTAATGTAAATGCATAATCCCATGAATCAATGTAATGCATGCCATTAATATGTGTGCATCTATGCAATGGAAATTGCATAACTCAACCTAATAAGAAGCACATCAAAACCCATTACTTTTCTATGCATCACATTCCAATCAAGGTATATAATTCAATCATGAAAAACATTTAACACGAGGTACCATGCAATATCACATTTCACATATTCATAGGAGTCATGAAATACATTTGGCAACACCACTCAAGTGACAAGACATTGCACCAATTCATTCATCCATGTCACAATTTTCATAAGCATAAACAATCATACCACAAACACTTAAATTACACACTTTGAAACCATGCATAGCAATTAATTCATCATGGAACCACAAAATTAAACCATGTCATGGTAAACTAAAATTTCTTCCTACATTTTTAGGTGTGGTCGAAGCTTGCCCTTCACTTAAACTAGGTAGATTTTTCTTGTTAATCCATAATTTCCCATGCTAATCCATTTATTCATTCTAACTTCATCGCCTTAACCATCTAACACACTAACACATGAATTAAATATTAACCCTAATTTCTCCCATTTAGGCGTGAATATACACATACCTTGAGCTAGGTGAATTATTCAATTTTAATTCCAATTTCCATGTTAAATCATCTTAATATACTTCAATAACATGTAACCAATCAAGTAAATATTAATGCATCAAAGGCACTAAAAACCTTAATTTTCACTATTTAGGCCGAATATATGCCTAAGTGAAACTAGATTTATTTTTTCAATTTTAAGGTCAATTCTCATGCCAAATCATCTAATTGCATTACAATAACTTGTTTTTAATCAATTAAAAAAAAAGCACAATAAACTCTAAAGATCAATTTTTGTGTTGAAAGTTTCATCATGAAGTAGGCTAGGAAATTTTGCATTTTCATCACTTATTTTCATGCTTAATTAACATATTCTATCATTAATTTCATCAATCTCTATACCTAATCCATTTCCCCTAATTTACACATTCAAGAAACCTAACCCTAATTTATTCAATAAATTCAATTAAACTTCAATTAAGTATGCAAAACCAATAATTCCCACCCAATAACAAATCCATGTGATTTAGGTGCAATTAACTTTCCTTAATTGCTCCAATTAAATCTTTTTTAGGTTGAGTTTTCCTTTCCCTTTTTGTTCTTCCAAGTTTAAACCAAATGCTAACTTTTTCCTCCTTGGTATTCTTGATCTTCCAACTACAATTTATGCTTAATAAAGTGTTTTTGGTGTTTAGGTTAATTTGGTTGAAATTTCCTTGGAAATTTTCGTAAGATTTTACCCTAATTTTGTAATTTTTCCAACCATTTTCTTCCTCATTCCAAGCTAAATTTATAGGTGAGCTTGGATAGACTTTTGCTTATGTTTACTTGATCTTCACCCTTCATTAGGCTTAATCTCTACCTTCGATTCATCTTTTAATCCTAGCTCTATCATTTTGCTAAATCTTTATCATTCACCTTTCTTTTAATCCTAACCATCCATCACATTAATCCTAGCTTTTCATTTGTTTACTTAATTATTACATTCATTAATATGGAGGGTGAGGTGGCAATTGAGGTGAAAAGATTTGGCCAAAATATTCATTTTAGTCCCTTGATTTATCCCACTTTTTCAATTACATCCCTACCTTTAGCCTCTTCAATTTTAATTGACTACTTTTAGTCCTTCCGTAAGACCTTTTCAATATCTTTATGCCTCCTCAATATTATTTTCAACTTATTTGAGGGCTAAAGCTTTTAATTTTATGCAATTGAGTCCCTAATTTTATGCAACTAGGTCCCTAACCTTTTGCAATTAAATCCCTATGCACATAATTAATTCCATGCACTTTTGAAAAATAATTTCTTTTCACCATAAATTTATACACTTCCTATAGTAATTTATTCATCAATCACATAATTTTTATGCACCTATTTAGGCACTCAAAATAATTATTTTGCATAAAAGTGCATTATTTATACATAGCAAAGTCAATAAAATATTCATTAAGCACGTAAAAATTCACTTAAACGCATCAAATATTCTAGCACCCCTCTATTAATTTTTCTATGCATGCAAGAAAATTTTCACACACATTTAATATATATTAATTTATTTATTAATAGGTTTAGGATATTACATTCTTAGAATTGAGAAATAAGAAGATAAAATAAAGAAGAGGAAACAAACGAAGAAGAGAAGATGAAACGAGACTAAAAGGAATATGAAGCAAACAAAGAGAAGAAGATGAAACAAACTAAGAGGAAGGGGAATATGAAGCAAACAAAGAAAAGTAGATGAAACAGACTAAAGATTTTCAAACGAAGGTGTACGTTGGGTTTTTGATAAATATGAGTCTTTGTTTGTTTTTTTCATTTAGTTTAAGATTAAATGGGTTGGGCTAATTAGGCCTTTTCCCTTTTTATATTAGACTAATTTTTTATATAAAAAATTATTTAAAGATTTTTATATTTTGGTTTTGATTTATATTGAAATGATTAAAGTTCACATTGCCACGTGTCCTTGTCCGATTAACTATCGTTAATTTTAATTTACCACGTAGGATGAATAGTTAATAACGTTATAATGAAGGGTCTCAATCAACAAAATTTGTAAGTGTAGAGGGTTTCGATCAAGCTGAAAAATAATAGAAGTTCTCAATTAAAAAGATTAGAACTATACTAGGACCGATTATGGGATAAACCCGATCCTAAATTGATGGGTTAGTATGAGCTTGCCATGCGGTTATACACTCTTTAAATAGGAATCTATTTTTTGAACGATCGTGGCTTTAAGAAGGAATTGGTTCCTAAGGAAAAAAAAACCTCGAGGAGGTTATTATAATTTATCTAAATTAAAAAAAAAAGTAAATTTCAATTTACCCTTTCTTGGTTTATGTATTTTTTTCAATTTCACAAAAAAAAAAAAAGCCTTTGATTTGTTTCGTTTAGACTCTATGTATTTTAATTTTGCTTCAATTAGTCTCCATATTTTTTATTTTGTTGTAATCGACTCTCACATTTTTTACTTTTATTCCAATTTTTCGCCTTCGTCCGTTTTTGTCAAGTGTAGATTTTAATTTTATCCTTAAAGTTTATAAAATATCTCAATATCATCCGACAAGTAAAGAAAAAAAAACTAAATTAATTGAGATTAACAAAACTAGAACATAAAATTAATAGAAAAACATTTTTTTTATTGAAAAAAATGTGATAAAATTTGAGAGGGTTAATTTCTTAAGAAATATTAAAATCCTACTAACTTCAACTCTCAATTAACAATTTTTTTTTCTTTATCAATACTATAGTTAAATAAAAATCAATATTCAAATTATAACTCTCTCTATTAATTTTATCTCGTGAAAACCTTCACCATTTTGATCCTTCTTTGCTATCATGTCTTTATTATTATTATTATTATATATATTGTCATCAAATAACACATTTAATATGTGTAAATAATCCCGTTATAGATAATGTCAAAATTGTCTTATACTAAAGTTATCATTCCACTCTTATGAGTTTTCCAAATCTTTTTTTTCCTTCCAAATTCTTGTTCAAGATTTTAAAATTAAATAAAAAAAAGTATAGATATGATACACTAGTGAGAGATTGTATGAGAGACATCGACAATGGTGGTTGACAATTTCATTAAAAAATATTTTTATCATGTTTATTTTTATTTAATTTATTCTTACATGTATTGATGAAAGATTTCTAGATGGTGTTTATTGAAAAAAAAAAAACCTTCTTTTATTTATCATATTTGTGTCATTGAAAATATATTTTTTTAATGATATTTTCAATTTAATTTTTGCATTTTTATCTTTTGGGTTATATTGAGATATTCTATAAACTTTGGAGATAAAAATTCAAATTTACACAAAGTGAAACAAAAAAAATGAAAGATACAAGGTTTAGTTGAAACAAATAATTTTTTTAGGTAAAACTAATAAAATACATAAACTCTAGGAGGAAAAATTGAATTTATCCAATAAAAAATAATGATGATTGCATTGTGTTTTTAGCAATATCCTATTACAACACTACATATGATATGACAAAGTTCAGTAGTTGAGAGACATCTTTTGTGTTTTTACTTGGATTTGAGCATAAGGCTTTGAAAGGTTAAACTTTAAGCCCAAATAAAAGATAAAACCCACTCCTCTAAAACACCAAGCCCGGCCTAGTGACTTCCTCCATTCCATTCCCTCTCTAGAAAGAACTCGGCGGGAAAATCCCTTTCCCCAAATCCCTCCATTCAAAAAATAAAAAAAGTCCCCAAATCACTTAATCCCAATTACCACCACCACAAGCGGCGATGATAAACGTCCTGAACGTGGCAGAGAAGCCGTCTGTGGCGAAATCGGTGGCAACCATACTGTCACGGAATCAGCTTCGAGTGAGAGACGGACGGTCCCGGTACAACAGAATATTCGAGTTCAATTACTCGATTGGCGGCCAACAATGCCACATGCTTGTCACTTCCGTCACCGGTCATCTCATGGAGCTCGAATTCGAAGATAGATTTCGAAAGTGGCATTCTTGTGACCCCGCCGATCTCTACACGGCTCCCGTTCGCAAATTCGTCCCTGAGGTACCTCCTCTCTCTCAATTTAGACATAGAGAATATTCTGCACAGTCGCGAGCGACAGGCGGTCGTGGTGTTTCATTATTTTTTTTTCTCTCGGATAGGATAAGTTGGATATAAGAAGGACATTGGAGGAGGAAGCAAGGAGGTGTCAATGGCTTGTGTTGTGGCTAGATTGTGATAGAGAAGGGGAAAACATTGCATTTGAAGTTGTGGAAGTTTGTAGAGCTGTAAATCGAAATCTTACGATAAGGAGGGCTCGGTTTTCTGCTTTAATTGAAAGGTTTTTTGAGGCAAACTTTCTTTGTTTTTGGGGATTAGTTACCGTCTTCTTGAGCGTGTTTCTTTTTGTTTTCATTATGAAAATATCAGGGATATTCATGAAGCAGTTCAGAATCTTGTTGCTCCTAATCAGTGGTTTTCGGATGCAGTGGACGCTAGGCAAGTAAGTATCTTGAAAATCTTCCGGCTTTATTGTAATTTCCATGGAGTTAGTTTCTATAATGTGAATCATTTTGAACTGTGAACTATTCATGTTCATGCATTAGCTAAATACTCTTTGCAGACTCACTTTTCCGTGAAAAAAAGATCGATTTTGTCTTTTCTTTGCAGGAAATTGATCTCCGAATTGGTGCTTCTTTCACTAGGTTTCAAACGATGTTGTTGAGAGATAGGTTTGTTATTGATTCCGCTCAAGATGATAGAAATCTTATTCTAAGTTATGGGCCTTGTCAGGTATGTTGTCATTGGTAGCCGAAAAATTTGCTTACATCATTTGTTTCGATTTTAAACCATGCTGTGGTTATGATTAGTCATTGTTCGCCTCTATGACTTCAGTTCCCTACACTTGGGTTTGTTGTGGAACGTTACTGGGAGATACAATCACATGAGCCCGAAGATTTTTGGACTATCAATTGTTCTCATAGATCGGACGAAGGCCTTGCTACTTTCAGTTGGATGTAAGCTTTGGATCTTACTGCATCATGTATCATTTCCTTTTGGATTCCTGGAAATATATGGTTAAATCTTACAATATTTTTAGTTTTACAGGCGTGGACATCTTTTTGATTATATCTCATCTGTTATACTTTATGAAATGTGTGTTGAGGAACCAACTGCAACAGTAAGTCACAGAATTCATGTGCCTGGTATAGTTTTGATATTGACAACAATTTTTATGAAAATTTAAATTTTTTCTTACTAATTGCCAATCAGGTGACAAAGGTCCAGCAGCAGGAGAAGCTGAAGTATCCCCCATATCCTTTGAGTACGATTGAGCTTGAAAAACGTGCTTCACGGTACTTTCGGATGAGTTCTGAACAAACCATGAAGGTCAGTACTTAGGAATTGGGATGTAATAGTATTTTACGATGAATGCCTGCATTTCTGTTAATTGTTTTAGACTCATGGGTTTGCTCTTTCTTTCTAAAGTTGTGTCCTTGTAACTGGTTGAATGTTGCAAAAACAAGAAATTGAACTAGGTTACTAATATAAGCAATGAGTGCATCCAGAATGGATTATGCACCTCAATGCCCCAGTTACTTCAGTAGTATCTTCACCTTTTCAAAGAAAATGTACTGAAGCTTGGCTGTTGAGTACTTTAAATGATACCACTATCATTCTCCACCAGATTGTCTATCCAGATTCCGCGATCAGAATTTTTACACGTCTCATATAAAAAAAAAAAAAAGAAAAAGAAAAAGAAAAGAAGAATTTATCACGAGTCTCAATGACTTTCCAATAATCTACCATTTAAAGCTATTTGAGTCTAATTGCATCGACACGATTTTGCTTTTTCGAAATTTCTCTAGCCAATCGTTCCTCATTTCATTTTCTTTGGTTGCTAGGTGGCAGAAGACCTATACCAAGCTGGTTTCATTAGTTATCCTCGTACAGAGACTGACTGCTTCTCTTCCAGGACTGATTTGCATGTCGGGAACGTAGTTTTTATTGTATTACTTGGACAAGTTGTTCTCTTAAGCTTCTCTTTTAGCAACTGGTTTATGAAATTATGATTTAACCTGATGTAGACAATCGTGCAAGAACAACGAGAGCATCCTGTCTGGGGATCATATGCACAAAGATTGTTAGATCCTGGAGCAGGACTTTGGAGGAACCCTAGTAGTGGTGGGCATGATGACAAGGCCCATCCACCCATCCATCCAACAAAATTTTCCGCTGGAGAATCCCGGTGGAGTCAAGATCACCATGTCAGTCCATTCCTTGTTACTTGTATCTACATGTTCTTGGCAATTTTCTTTTCCCTCTTGTTCCAAATTAATGGTTCTGGCTTTGACTGTGAGTTTTTGAAATTTAGTTGCTTTCATTTTGTCCAGAAATTGTATGAGCTGGTTGTTCGGCATTTTCTGGCTTGTGTTTCACAGCCAGCTGTTGGGGCTGAAACTATAGTTGAAATTGATATTGCTGGTGAAATGTTTTCTGCATCAGGGAGAGTGATATTAGCTGTGAGTATCTAGTATCATCTCGAATAATAAGTACACATTTTTTCATTTCAATTAATATTTTTGTCTTGCTATTGTAGATCATTTGCATGGTTACCATGGAAATAATCACGGCCCTTATGTAACAATATTGGCTATGATGGTCACTAACATTTTACAGTTTTATAGTCTTGGATTGTTTGATTTGATTCAACATACAATTATTTGTGTTTTTGTTAGAAATATTTGGAATGGATTTTCTTGGTAAATTCTTAGCGTTAATGACAATATTTTGAAGACTGAGTCAAATATTGTTATCAAGGCATATTTAGTATGGGTGATGTAGTTTGATGTGAAATTGGTATATATTTTTTTTCATTTAATTAGGTAAGCAGGATGTGTATTTATTTATTATGGAAATTAAGATATATAATCAATCGATGTATTAGTGTTTTTGTTTTTACTGAAGTTGCTTGAAATTAGTACTTTGGAGGTGATGTTCAACTACTTTGGTCATTTTTAGGTAGATTATTAAAGTCTCCATATTAGAGACAATTTGCTAAAATTTGTCCAATTCACCCAACGATGGCTGTGGCCATTGCGTGGAGCTGTTATGCTGCAACTGCAAGAGGTTAGGGTAGCTGGTAATCTGAAAGTAGCTGCCTGTTTCCTTTGATGCTGACCGGCCTTTTCTGTTTCTTGTATGTCCACTAGATATAATGAGGCATGTTGCTAATCAACCCTATAATCTGTAACGATCAAAGGAATTCCTTTCATGGTATAAACCCATATTTACTCACGTATCCTGTTCAATTTTGTCAGAAGTTGGAAACAAATGACCAGCATTGTGATTGGTGGTTAGTGGTTATTAGACTATAGACATATTTAATAAAAACGATCATGAGTATTTTGAATCAATTATGATAGCATTCCCTTTTATTTTGGTTGCCTTTGTTTTGTATGGGATCTAATAGCATCTTGTTTGACCAGAAAAATTACTTGGATGTTTATCGTTTTGAATCATGGGGGGTTCAATGATTCCAACATATGACCAGGGACAACAGGTTTGTCATTTATAATCCAGGCTTTTGTTGCATTATCATTTAATTGTACCTTTTCTGATTGGTAGGCTGTGTTTCTTGCAGTTTTTGTGTATATTTGATATGCTATGTATTCATTTGCAAAAGTCTTATGGAATGAAGTTATAATTTTTATGATGTGCTCTATATCAATTAGATGGATTTATTGGCCAGTATTTAAATGTCACTAATTTTCCAAGCAAACTTGTGTCTGAGTTGCTTTGTCAATTGGCATAGCATGCCTCATCCATCACTTCTGTTATCTTTCTCATCATATAACAGATTGGAAAATGTGTGGTAAATTGAGATAGAAAGCAACTGTTCACCTTCTAGGCTTGGATTCTATATCTTAGGACCTATTCTGAATGCTTAATCTGCTTTCCAGCCATGGTTGACACCACCTCACTCGTTTAAGTTTTCACATTTTGGACAACAGTTGGATAATAGTTTGATGTGGGTCTTGCGTATGAGAGAGTTAACCACTGCTTTAGCATTAGAAAGATGGATGGTTGAATAAAAGCTATTGTAAGTGGACTTGTTGAATATAAACATCTTTTGCTCATATTAAAAACGGTTACACAAAAAAATGAACATGTCTGGTTCGTTGTTGTCTTGGGGACCTTCTCTATTTTTCTTCTTTTTTTTTTTGGAGGGGAGGGCGGGGGTGGCAGCTTACCGGGGCATAAAACCCCAAAAAAAAACAACAGAAACTAATTTTGTTTTGTGCAATTGGTCATTTTTAAGGCAGAAACTGAAAAATAACAGAGCATTAGATATTGGATCATGTTACCATTTGACAAAGTATAGTTACTGGTTCACAATAGAACTTTGATGGTCCAAGCTTTGGGGTTAGGATTTACTTTCTGTTATACAACTTCTTTTATATGTTGAAGTCTAGATAATTATTCTATAGTTTTGGACAATGTTGCAGTTCATTCCGACAACATTGACTCTGGACTCTGGAGTCACTAGACCCCCACCTCTTTTAAGTGAAGCTGATTTGTTGAGTTGTATGGACAAGGTAAGAAGATTGGAATTCGCAGCATTTTGTTCTGGTATTTTGCTCTCTATTGTTTACTAGTTCACTATTTTCCCGTAACAGTGTATAATTTTTAAATTGGTTCCTCTCATTTGCTTGTATATATAAGGCGGGCATTGGTACAGACGCAACAATGCACGATCACATAAAAAAGCTGCTCGATCGATTCTATGCCACAAAGGATGCAAACACTCGCTTTTCACCAACTAATCTTGTAACTTCATTTAAATCTCTCTTAAGTCTTAATGAAATATCTTTAGTGTTCTTATGCTTGATCTTCTTGTCCTTGCGATTACTTGCAGGAGTTTCCTGTTTCATGTGTTTTATACATGGGAAAAGATACAATTTGATAGGATAAGTGAAAATAGGCTGAAGGGTTGCAAGGTTACTTAAACTTTAGAATATCTCCTTGTTATGCATGTATTGAGTATAAATTGTAGTTTTACATTTTAAAGTGTTTGATTGATCAGCTAAAATATTATAGAAGTATTCCCTTCTAAAAGCTCCAACCATGTAATGTTCGTTACTGTTCTTATGTCTCAGTCAGGTTGGCAACAATATTTGTTATTGTGTTATCAGAGCTTGGATTTCAAGATATTTGACTAAATGCATTTTTGATAGTTTTGGATTGCTGATTGTATCACTGCAGTCTTTCATAAAAAGTTGTAATTATTGGAATATGAGAGTTCCAGTTGTTTGCTTTAGAATTTTAAACTTCTTAGCATCCAGACAAAAATAGGTAAACATGCTTGGGCATTGATCTGCCAAAAATAGTTCCTGTAGATTGACTAAGTGCCTTATTTATGCTTTACATAAAAGGTTTGCTTTGCTCCAAACATTCAACAAGATTTCAATACTGTAAAATTTAGATATTTCTCTCTGAGTGTTATTATTATTATAGGTAGGCATCTCAAAATAGAGGTTTAAATATTATATGACAGTGGTGAGCAATTCAACTCAGATAAAACTCTGTACAGAACTAGTTGAGGTCAGCCTTTTCATGTCAGTGATGGCAGTCTTCAGTTAGATTTTATATGCTACAGTTGTTACTGAGGGCTTTTAGCTGTATCTGAATTTACATTTCTTTGTGTTGACTTTATTGAAAAACCTCTTCTATGTAAATTCATTATATCTACAAGCTTTTGTTTTCTGTTTCCATGGCTTGATTTTCCTGCTGAGTTTTCTTATTTGACCTTCAATGACATTGTTTGGCAAACTGCAATCTCTGGTTCAAGTGTTGACGCAAGATCCATCATCTATTAAATGCTCATTATGGTTTGTTTATTACTACAATATAAGAGAAGCAAATTTTGGTGCATAGAGCTGGAAGGGTGATAAAATGATGTCTCAATTATGTCCTCTAGATTGCTAATTGTTTTTTTACTAATTATTAATTCAATGCATTTCAGGGTGAGGCACTAGTTATGGGATATGATGACATAGGGTAAGTAGTTCACTATTTTCAACCGGCAAAGAAACTGTTAGAATGCTGAACTTTCATTTTAATATTGATCTGTGATGGAGAAAGGATTTTAGTATCTATTTGATTAGTTATTTCAAAGTTGTACATCATGTTTTCTTGTGAGGTTACATGGATGGAATTATACTTGCTGCGGAGAGATTTTTTATTGTTTTAGTACTTTTTTTTTTTTGGTTAAAAAACTTTTAGTCAAAGTGACGATATATAATTTTTCTTTTTCAGGTATGAACTATGGAAACCAAATCTGAGATCGCTGATGGAGTATGACATGAAAGAAGTCAGCATGGGCAATAAAAGTAAAGCAGAAGTTTTGGCAACTTGCTTGCAGCAGATGAAAGCTTGCTTCTTAGATGTATGTTGGAATACACATAATATAAGCTTAATCAATTTTTGGTTGGAAGGCCATGTTATAATTGTCTTTTCCTCCAGAAATCATGAGAATTGGTCATCATAATCCAATGTTAAGTTCCTTTCTGAATAAGCATAGTGATACACTCTTGCAGTTTTTAGATAATTATATGCTTGATCACAGGGACGCACTAGTTACTAAATGAAAGCTGGCATGAATTACTTGCATACACAAACAAGTTTGATTTAAAAAGGAGATAATAGGATGAAATCAGTTCTAATGGCTGCAGGGGTTGTATTCTCTGGCTTATGTTGTTTTCGTCGAGGCCTAAATGTCTTTGGCCCATTCTTTTTCAAAAATTTTCATTGCTTATACACTTGAGCTTGTTTCTGAAAAAGATGACTCAAATGTCTCTCTGACATATATACTTCCAATGCCAATTCTCACAATTCATAACTGAACTGAAAACATCTGCAGGCGAGGGTAAACAAAGTAAAACTCTTAGAAGCCATGGCAATTTTCTTTGACAGGTTGTTCTTTCACCTTCTTCAGTATTACAGATGATATGTTCCAATATCATTCAGTGTATCTTTTTCTCTTATTCAGATCTGATAGATCGAGTGGAGATGACAGTAATGCTTCTGGGGAAAATGTCCGTCCATGTGGACTTTGCCTGGAATCAAATATGGTGCTCAGAAAAAACCGGGTAATGACTTTTATTTTGTGAATTTCTAGATATATATGATCAAAGTTTCTTCCACTTATGCTTGAGGATAAGTTTCTCAGTTATCCTTCATTCTTAGTTGGTTGAGGTGGATGAGTATTTATTCCCGTAACTTCTGTTTATGATATTCTGGAAACAAATTTAAGCGAGTCATTGGTTCTCACAAAATGCAACTTCCCTCCAAACAGGATGGCAATTTCATGGTAGGGTGCTCTGGTTATCCACAGGTCTGTGCCCTTACCCTCAAAACCTGTAATTCATTGTAAATAACATTTGCCAACAAGGAGTTTTCTTAAATTGCTACATTAATGGCACATCAAAGTTAATTCCCTTATCAATGGTGAAAAGAAACCAAATGTTGTTTGTTCCATTTCATTTGGTGGTGCCTAACCTATAATTCCCATAATCTTCATTGTTTACTTCAAATCATGGCCGTCAGAATTATGCTATATGCTTGTTTGCATTATTATTATCTCATACGGTACAATGAAAGATGATTTAGCTTCTATTTTGTCTGTCTGTGTGTGTGTGTGTGTGTGTGTGTGTTGATGACATTACTTGCAATTATTTAACTTATTATATTCTTACCAGTTCATGATGGTTGTATCTTGGAAGATTATTTCCATCATAATTATTAAAAACATCTGTTCGTTTAATTTGTTCAGTGCAGGAATGCCGTATGGCTACCTGGACCTGTTTTAGAAGCCACCGTAACCAACAATATATGCAACTTTTGCACTCCAGGTTTCGACAGCTAATTTATATTGACTTGGTTAACTTTGTGCCTGCTACCAAAAGACAAATTTAGCTGCTCTCTCTATTTTAAGCATATGTTATAAATTCCTGCAAGTTCAGCAATCCCAAAATCTTCATCTATATGGGAAAGATACCATGGACAATGTTTCACTGGCAAATCCTAATTGAGCTTCATTGATTGAATTTCTTAAAGAAATATTGACATCGTTCTATGTACACATCCACTGTGTGTTTTTTATTGCTATGATTCAGAAACTGAGACATATGCCATACCATTTCATTGCTTCCACCAGAGGCATTTCACACTTTCTGAGTGTTCACGTGGTATGGGCTATGTCACAAGCATCATATGGGTTTCTACATATTACTGATATGGTGTTGTCGTTCTTGCTTGAGATCTTGATTATTCATTATTGACACAGCTTTCTTTTAGGTCCTGTTTACTTGATCCAATTTAAGTTTCGCCAGCTTGAAATACCACCAGGCTTCAATGTCAACCATTTGGGTAAGTATGGCCCCATGGTAACGTAGGGATTTTTTGTTCTGATTTTCTTATACTCTGATGTAGGTACTCTGGGTTATGTACACATAAATCAGTTCATTTTGTTTAGATTTCGTATTTGGTATTTTTTTTTTAATTAAATAAGAATATTAGGAATGAGATCTGTGTTATGCCATCTCAAATCCTCCATTTTTTTTTTTTTTTGAAGTTTGAACTTACCTGGTAAAAAAATTTGGATGGTCGAATTTATTTCAATTTGACATTTGAACAAGTGTTTCACATTCTCTCAGATGCAGAAGTGAAGAACTCAAAGACCTTTCACCAATGATTAGGTGAAACAGACTTATGTAGGTTTCTCTTGAGGGCTGCCTGGTCTATTAAGGACTAATTACGTAGTTGGACCCATATCCTTTTTTTTTTTTTTTTTGGCATATACAAGGCATTTTTTTAGCAGGTTGACCCTTCTATTTAGTGTTAGAAGAGTGAGATTTGCGAGGTCATCCTTTCTAGTTGTAGCAGAGTACTACTGGTTGTTTACACAGGGGGCAGACAATGCAAACTGGAAAAAGCCGCAAAGGACCAATTTATTAGCAATAGTCAAAACACGATTGTTTCCTTTATAAAACAAGGATTCGCCTCCTTTGATTGGCAGTCATTTGAATAAGCATAGATTTTTCTGCCAAAAAATATGATAATTTAGCTTTCATATTTGAAGAAATGAAAACGGGAGACGCACTAACATACGTATGCCATTCTTGTATTCTTGATTAAAAGACCTTTCAGTGCTTGGAAGTTGATAGCTTATTTCAAATCCCTCCTTGTGTTGAAGGAGATTATTTATTCAAATTTTTATGTCCATTTGTACTCTTTCTTATCTCAACTCAAATCAACAGAACAAAGCCGTAGACATTTTTCAATTTCACTCAGACTTCTCCTCTATGCTGTATGCTTTGGATCATGTTCTTTCTGGTCTTTGTGATTACTCTAAATTCAGTAGGGTCAATGTATGTACATTTATTTGTCCTTGCCACCAATGATTGAACCATTTTAGTATTTCAGAGGGTATCCTTATCATTTCATCTATCAATGCCATTTCTAGCTTCTTTGTATGCATGTTTCAATTCCTTTTTCTCTTTTTGTAATGAGTTTCATGCACATCAACTTCTCTTTTGCTATTTTAATGTTTTCTGCAGACATTCACAGATCCACTCATGCACTTCCACATAGCAATTTTGCATTCTTTGCCAATGTTGAATTTTTTTTACACGTCATCAGGTTGCATTGGTGGCTGCGATGAGACTCTTAGACAGATGATCGAAATATGTGGAACTGGTTTTCGCAGTCAAGGTGTGTATACATGCTCGGCTTGATTTGTTAATTTAACGTAGTCAATTAGTCAAATGAAGTAGAGTAATTAGACTAGGTATTTGAAGATGAATGTTCATAAGTTCATAACAAGATTTATTGTTCTGGTTCATACCGAGGAGTTGTGTCTGTAAGAAACAAACATTGAATCCTTCCCATTCATTTAATGATTCTAGGATATATGGAATTTGTCTGACATCCATCTTAGTGTAATTGTATTTGGTCTGAAATGGTTTCCCCAAGTTCACATCAAGCATGATACTTCCTCCAACTTTTGTTGTTCTTTTGAAAATTAATGCATGCCTGGCTTCGCTTCTTGATTAGAAATGTTGTGAATGTATTATCAATCCTTGAAAAAGGTTATTTATATGTAAGAGAATTTTAATTTGGGATTTGTTTTCTCCTTTCAGGAAAAGAACTTTTTTTTTTAATGAGAAACTTGAACTGAATTCTTCGATGATTATGTAATGGAAAAAAGATCATGTAGATGCAATTTGCTTTGTTAGCAACATGTTGGTTAGAATGAGTTGTTCTTTATATATTCAATTATATTGTGCAGCAATAGGTCGACCAACCACTACAACACCCAGCAATCGACCAACCACTACAACACCCAGCAACCTCCAACGAAGTAACTCTAGGCAGGCACCCTGCATATACTGTTATCAAACAGGACATGCTTCAACCGATTGCCCTACACAGATTTCAGCCGCTCGACGTGTGCAATTTCGTGGAATGAACCAACAGAATGGTACTACTGATGAACTTTTATTTTCTCCTGATCGTTTATGAGATTCCTAACTAAGCATTTTTTATTAGAGACCAAATTTTATTATGATATCAAATATGGTTGTTCACATTGTATCACTTTATACCATCTCGAAAGTTAAATTAATTTACATGGAGGGTTTAACTTTGCTTTCACTGGGAGTATGTCACATTTTATTGGACACTAGGACTTTAGTTATTCATAATTATTTGGTTCTTTTCTTTTATAGATTTTTCTTGATATGTGATTCACGATGACTATGAATCCTACAAGTTGTGAACAGACTATTATTGTCACTTCTTGTCTAGGATTGGGCTGTAAATATATATAAAGGCTTAGTGGAGGGGGATCTTATTTCTCCCTTCATCTTGTCCCTCCCCAACTGCATGTCACTTTTTTAATCCCAGTTCTTTGCGGTTTGAAAGAACTATATCATCTCATAGTTTTTTTGAAATGAAATCTTCAATCCGAGATCAAATCATAAGATTGTGAACAGTTAGACCAAACATATAGGTAGAAGCATATGTCTCATTCTCTGACTCATTTCAGAATGGGTATGTCTTGTGCCCATTGCTTGCTTATATTTTTAGGGTTTAAGCATACACTAGCTTGGTGTTTTTTCAGACAAAGCATGTTAATTGAACGTAATCTAAGAAATGTATGGAGTATGGACTTCTGGAAGCATTAAAATTGTGTATTCATGGTATTGAGTTTAGTATTACCATTGTTAGAGGTAGCATACCCTTGATACCTGCTCTTAAAGGGCTCTTCGTGATGCAGGAGAATCTTCAATTTCATGTAGCACGTGTGGAACCCCATGTGTTTTGCGAACGGCTAACACAGCAAATAACAGGGGAAGAAAGTTCTACTCGTGTTCGTCACAAGCGTGCAACTTCTTCGTGTATGTAAACCTAAACCTAGATCATGAACTATGAATCTCCCTGTGTTATTCTAAAAAGTTGTCAAAATGAACTGGTTAGGAGCAGAAATTATTCAATACTCCTAATGTGTACAACTATTTTCTAACATTCATGCGATATTCATTTATAAGAGCCATCTGTGCATGAAAGTCAGAGAAAGTGTAGACACTACAGGTATTGAATAATTGCTCTAGTTAAAGTTGAAATAAGCTATCTCAGACTCAATAATCCAGAAGTTGAGTTTTCAATTATAAAACCAACTCCGATAGAACATGCAGATCTCAAATAAGTGAATTCTTCATCGAACTATTACAAGCCTGCTTTATTGGAACATGTGTTTTAACTACTAGTTAATGTATATCCTATTCTGTATTGCAGATGGGAGGACAACCTCAACAACGGCACAGTCCCAAGAAGTGCTCCTCGTCTAAATATCAGTAACCCTAGCGGGAGAGGTGGTCGTGGAAGGGGTGTTCAGAATGCAGGACGTGCATCTGATGTAACTTTTGTGTCTGCTACAGGTGAGCCTATATCTGGAAGAAGATGCTTTGTGTGTGGTGATCCATCACACTTTGCAAATGCCTGCCCTAATCGTGGGTCCTGATATCATGCCCTCACTAACGAAGATTTGAAACATGCTCTAGTACGTCGAAAAAGGTTTGGTACCTGCTATCTTCTTGGCTCTTGAGTGTTGTAATTTTATAAATCTAGCATAGAACGTACACAAAAACACTTTTATTTATTGATTTTGATCTTCACCACTGTGGGCTGAAATGGCAAGAGCAAGTTTATGGTTGATGATGGGTTAGGCCATTCTAGGCTCGTTCTATCGTGCCTAAACAATATAGGATTATCCACTAAGCTTTGGGAAATGATATTCGCATGCACACACTTTAGGCTTGGGGCAAGTCAAAGATAGATCTCTCCATGATCAGTGATGGATGGAACTCTTAGCCACTGAGTGGAGCCCACAACCATGTGGAGCAGTGTGTAATAGCACATGAACCAAAGTTTGAGAGCCCTACCAAAGATCCACAAACACTAGGCATCAGGGCACATGACCCGTGTTTTGATTCTCAGTACCGATGTGATAAAGGGAACAACATGAGGTACGGTCAATGTTGTGTTGTTGTTGGTCACTTCTTCAAAATGGAATATTGGTACAGTTATTACTACATATATATAAATGCTTGTCTCGCTTGTTTGACAATGACTGAGCAGCACTGCTATTTCATTTTGCGTGGCCATGAAAAATAAGAAAGAACAGAAAAACAAGAAACCCAATTTATTTTATCCAAAACATTCTTTAATGCCAAGCTATGCGAAGGCCCTTATTTTTCATTTTCTTTCTTTCTTCATCATAGATCCAACGCATGTTCTCTTTAATCTTAGATTAATCGTCTAACTACATTTTATTGAGAATTCGTGCAATGATAACAACCACACAGAGCTTGAATATCTTGCTCTATTCTTTTGATTTTTTTTTTCCTCCTGTATTATATTGATCAGATCATTTCCTGTCTTATAATTTTTATTTTATTTGATTTTATTTTATTTGAGTGGGAAGGAAGACTGAAACCTAAAACAGAACAGTCAAGGTCCTTTATCAATAAAATAATGAATTCATTGGGATTCCAGTTGTTCACTTCCTTTTCTTTTTACTTTACTTCCTCTTTTCATGAGAGGAGGTTCTGTAAGTTGTCTTTTGGAGCAAAAGGAAACACAAACGAAATTGGGGTGTCCTGTTTTACTTAAAAAATAAAAAATAAAAATAAATAAATAAAAGGAGTATCATACCTGTTTAAAAGGTGGACCACATAAGCTTTTTCTTACGACATCTAAATTGTGCACCATATTATTATTTAAAAAAAAAAAAAACAGAACAAAATTATCACAATGTACACCATCAATATCATAATTAAAAAAAAAAAAAAATCATCATCAAAACCAAACTAAGGTATCAACCTTACAAACCCATCCAATGGATTGAATTTTAGAATCACACAAGTTAATTTTAATTTTCTTTTTCTTTTTTTTTTTTAGAACCATACAAGTTGATTTTAATTTTTTTTTTTTTTAAAAAAAAAAGAATGTTGTGAGACAAATGACATAATCAAGTTACTTATTCAATCTTTTTAACAAAACAGAATCCTTCTTGCCATTGATATTGTCGATTTTATATGGAACCCACAAGTGTAAGGCTAATAAAAAGGGGAAGATTGTCTCCGAGACTTGTGGTATCGTACAATATGTATAATATACCCGAAAAAAGGTGTTGCCTCTGGCTAGTAAGGCCTACCCAACAATACTTGTTGAGAAAAACAAAAGCAAAAAAGCACTTGGAAGAGGTAAAGTTGCAGACCACCATGTCATGATTCATGGTCTGTTCACATTATTGTACTCAAGTTCACGGACGGTGGTGGCCATAGCAAAGTGACATTAGAAATTGCGTGGGGGTGGGGAGGGAATAGGTATTGTAGAAGTAACTAAAGCCTTATGATTGTTTGTTCATTTGTGGTTTGGTGTTGTGCTAGGAAGACTTCAAATTATCAATTAGGGCTGATCAATAGATCCTGAGCAGAGTTCCTTTGATGGTAAAAAAAAAAAAAGTGTTTCCCTTCTAATTATTTAAAAATGTGATTTTTATTATTAAAAAAAATGATAACAATAATAAAATTGTAGAGAAATATGATAGAAAAATAAATTAATTACCAAAAAAATGAATACAAGTGATAGCAACTCTAAGCAATTATCTCAATTTCTACAAAAACATTTATTCAATTAATGAACAATCAATTCTATTCATAGGTTTTAGGATTAGAAAGATAATTTGAAAGGGCTAGAAAAAATGTTGCACCAACCTTTCAATTCTTATGTTGTTATACATGATAATGATGAATTAAATCCCATTAAACAATATGATTAGTAGTGGGAATAAGAATGGTCGTGGACATTCATTATTTCATGACACTTCTCATTAAATGCTCATCGTACGAAGAACATGTCTTATTAAAACCTTATTATGAAAAAATCTAATGTGAAAAAAAATAATATTATTGAGGGAAAAAGACTATAATATTTCTTATATAGATTAATCCTCATATCGGGCTCTCTCTGTTGAAAGCTTTATTTAAGATCTTTAAGACGACGTATTCTAATCTTGTGAATCATTTTCATCTTTAAAACGACGTATTTTAATCTTGTGAATCATTTTCTCAAAAGTTGTGATAAGTAATGTTTTAATGAATAAATCAGTCGGATTGTCACTTAGATGTATCTTTCTTTCTTTTTTTTTCTTTTTTTTTGAGTTACCTAAATATCATTATCTTTATATAATATTGTTATAACTTTTTTGACCAATGGATAAACCGCATGTCTTTCGGATATGATAAGTCATTAATCTTAACCAAACACATTCTTGACTTGCCTTATGAATTGTTAGTATTTCTTCATGGTTTGAAGACGTAGCAATTATAGTTTACTTCACAAAACATTTGTAATATAACCGTATCATCATGTGTAAATACATAACCGAGTTTGTGATCGAGCTTTGTATGAATCGGATAAATAACTTGTATCTACATAACTAGTTAAACTTAATTTTGATTTATTTGAGTAAAATAAATATCATATCAATTTTTTTCCGGAGATAACGTAATATATATTTAATTACATTCTAATGTCTTCGTATTGGAGCGGGACTATATTTTGTTAATAAATTTACAAAAAATGCTATATCAAGTCAAGTATTATGAGCAATATATATCGATACACCAATTGAAATAGGATATGATACTTAAGGATCAAGTAGTTTTTTCTTATCTTTTCGAGGCCAAAAAGAGTCTTTTTAGATATCAAGTGAATGAACTATCATCGAGTTAGTCAATGGATAAGCTTTATATAGAATCGTTCTAGAACTTTTTCTATATAAGTTGACCGATGAATAAAAATCTTATTTTCTAAGTGCTCGAACTACGTGTCGATATAAAATTTTATTCTAACAAGGTATTTTATATCAAATTCTTTTTTTAGATAACTTACGACACTTGGAATCTCTTCGGAAGTTTCAATAATATTTAAATCATCAACATATACAACAATCATCACAAATCTTTTTTTGAATTTTTTTATAAAAATACATTAAAAAAAATAGGGTTATTTTTATAATTTTCTTTCTATAAATATTCATTAAGGCGATTATACCACATTTGTCCAAATTAGTAAAAAATAGTAGATATTAAAAAAATCTCATTAAACAATATGATTAGTAGTGGGAATAAGGATGATCATGGATAGGGATGTCAATGGGCTGGGTATAAAATGGGTAGTAGCTTTATCCAGCTCGATAAATACCTATTACGAATATCTAATCGGTATTAAAGTGGATAAAGATAAAAAAATATATATATATATATATATACCCACTAATATGATTTCGGGGTATGGGTACCCACTTTTTATCCTATTAATACCCACTAATTTATTTAGATTTCTTTATTAAAATGTAAGGATCTAATTTTATAAAATTTAAAAATTAAAGATCAACGTATTTTTTTCAAAAAATTTGGGGACCAAAAAAACTTATAATTAAATTACCAAAATGCAAAAAAAAAAAATTTAAGGATTAAAAAAACTTTTCTTAAAAATTATAGAGACTAAAAAATATATTTTTGATAAATTAAATTTAGTGAGTATTTACTAAGTATTTAATGAACGAGTAAACTAATATAGGTTGGATAAAGATTTATATGGTGATTTCTTAATATATAATGAGTAGAGTATTTTTTTTTATAGATATAGTAAAAAATTGAATTAATGAACCGAATAACCATCCATTGCCATCTCTAATCATAAATATTCATTATTTCATAACAACTTAATCATTTGAGTTCAAACTTTAAAAATTCTTATAAATCTTTACTTACAATGTGGATAGCAACATTATAAAAACCAATCCGAAAATATCATCTAAATCCTAACCTAGAATTCAAACTTTGTTAACGACAGCGAAGCCAATGTGCTTTGTAGTGACTTCCAATAATTTGAAAGTTGCACTTTAGATATTTGCAAAAATAAATAAATAAATGTCCTGCTTCTTTATTTCAGTAACCTCACTCGTAGCTCAGTAATGAAGGGAATGGATTTGTGGTGACTTCAAACTATTGTAGAATTTGATTATATTTTAGATAGCTTGAAAAGTTTTACTTTTATGTTGCCCAAGAGCCATTGCTGAACCTTACATGATGAGAACACCCTTTGGGTCCTCAAGCGACACCCGTACATGTATCATTGACCTTGGAAAACAGGCTGCTTCACTCTTGTTTCACTTTCAGGTTAACGTGATTTACTATATTATTATATAGAAAATTATATGATTTTAATTAATTCTTATCAACCAAAAAAAAAAAAAAAATCTTTTCCTGATAAATAAACATGAATTATTACTTTAATTTAAGAGATAAGTATGATAGTTAAGAAATTTGTTATTTTCTTTAAATTTTTAAGCTCGAACCTTAAAATCATTCATATTTTTAGGCTCGAAAAAAAAAAAAGAGTTGTTATTTCTTTTTAGTAAATAGTTTGATAAGTAAAATATTAAATTGA